TCATGGCTTTACAAAAAGGCAACAAAAAGAAAAACAGGTAGTGGCTATGCTCAGCCATCATCTTTGATTTCCCATCCTTTCTGATAGCTGAAAATGCATTTACATCCATTGTTTCGTATTTTGGACATAAAAAAAAAGTATTGCAGTTTATCATTCCTCTTTGCTGACATCAGTTTAAAAATATTTCTTTTTTCTTCCTCAATTTCATAACGAATATCAATTTGAAGAAACTTTCCAAACAGAACAAAATGGACAATTCATTTTATAACAGCATTAAAACCAGTGCCTTTCACATATTTGAAAGCGACTCAACTTTGTAAGACTTCAACTTGCGAATATATTTCAAGATGGAATTAATTTCTGCAGCACAAGTTAGATGAGATTGAAGAAGGTAAGCATCTGTCAAAAGCAATAATTTAGGGGAAAATCTGTAAATAAAAAGCACAGTAATGGAGTGTTGAGGTTGTTAAATTAATCAATAATTACAGTACTTTGACAAGAAGCTTTCTCGAGAGCCTCTATCTTCTGAATATTCAATTATGAAAGCATGAATCAGGTGCTGAATACAACTGTATTTAATGTATCTATCAAATAATATGTTCCTGCACTATTTCACTAGGGAAGGATGTTAACAAATTCTTGAGCTTTTAATTTGTTTATTTTTGTAACACTTGAATCCTGATTAACTAGTTTTAATTAAGTGAGCTCAAATTTCATATGTCAATTACATACGATTCCAGATCAAATGGTAAAAACCATATGAGACTGGGTAATGACAAAGAAGTATCCCAGGAAACAAGTACGAGTTTCACAGATCTCTTGGGTTTACATCTACCATTTCATTCTCAGGTTTAGATACCAGACTTCTTCACAGTTCATATCTAAGCAAATTTAAAAGAATGAGGGAGGTACACAGTAGCAAAGCTATGCAAACTACAGTCCTAATTTTCAAGGATAAGGAGCTTGAGAAAGAATGCACCATTAGTACACTAGTGAGTTTTTATTATTATTATCAGAAAGAAAACAAGTATTTAAAACTAGACCAGAGAGGCATGAGGTATTCCAATGAAGAAAAGCAGTTTCCTAATATTAAGAACAAATATGAAATTACACAGCAATACAGGCAGGAACTCATCTGCTTTTCACTACCCAAGTCTGGACTATGTCAATGCACCTGAGCCCCTGGGATGTACAGATAACATGGAAAATTTTCTGGCAAGAGGTTCTGCCTCCTGACATCTCTCACAGGCCTGAGCTTTGGCAAACATCACAGCCAAGAGGCAAAGAGGATGTTTCACTTGAGCTAACAGAAACAACTGCGCTGCTCAAGGCAACCGAGAGTTCTAACAGTGCTGCTGCATAAGCAAGTGATGCAATCGTAATGCAATGTGATACCTATGCAAAAACGTAATTGCTTAACAGCATCTCATGTACTATTCCAAGTTTGTCTCAGCTTTCCTGAAGTAAACAAGTAAAATCAGCAGCATTTCCAGTCAATGTTTGAGACTGCACAAATATAATCTAGATGTGCTCGCAAGCCAATAATTTTCAGTAGGGGTCTGTTGATCACCCTTCACATGTAATGTGCCCTAAGTTACATTTCTACTTCTTTTATTCTCTTGTAGTTGTCTTTCATGTAGTCAGCTTGATGCAACATACGATTTTTTATTAAACTAGCCTTGTAATATTGTAATGTAAAAAAAGAGCCTTCCTTAGTTGCTGTCACTCAATAGCAAGTTATTTTCTGCTTTTGCTTTCTCACAGAATAGCTCTGAGAAAACTTGCTGTGCATAACATAAGACAGAGATAACACAAGAGGGTTTTTTTTTTTTTTTTTTTTTTAAAAAAAAAAAACAGCTAGGTCAGGCTGTAAAAATCTAGAGAAGGAGACACTGAACTGAAACAAATAATTTTATCATTTCAGATTTTTAACTTATGGTTAAGTGCACATAACATATGCCCTGCTGTTCCAATTACGGCTTGCTTGATACCTTTTCTCCTGCTGATTGCACTGACAACTAGTGCTGCACATGGATTACAGCCACTGCCATGTGAGAGACTGACAATAATCGCTAGATGTATTAACATTCTCTGAATTGAACTTTCATTAAGGTGGAATTTAATCCTCTGGGCATCAAAACACATTTTAAACACAGTTGAACAATGACAGAATCATTCCACCAATTAAGCATAAAACAAATATTTAGGTATAAAATGGAGTAAAATCATCAAGTTCAGAATCAGATGAATGCATGGAAAGTCAACTATCCCACAGAATCTGAAAACTTCTATAGGTACAGTCTGCTAGATTCTCATCAATTAGGAATGATGTTTTCTGAATATTTGTGAATCTATTCTTGCAAATAGGATTTCCAACACTGTTGGAAAATGCACTTAAGTTGTACACTGCTTTCTTTATCAAAGAGAGATGAGCAAGAAGAAGAAGAGGCAAAAGGAGCATCTCTCATCCAATGTGCTCTAATAATACGAAGAGTACATTGGAGTTCATTGCACTCCTAGATTTCTACTGCATACGCTACAGTCCTAATGGATTCTTCTGAAAGAAGCATTGGACCAAACATCCTCCTTCCCTTCCTTCCCTCAAAAACTTACAGCCAGCCATTCATCCATGAATGTATTTCCAATGGGAGCCATTAGTACCATTATTCGATGAGTAATCAGAAAGGAATGAAGAGACATGAAACGGTAGAAGGCTTAACTCAGGAACGGGAGAGGAAAACATTAAAAAACATGAAGCAAAAGAGAGATAGTCTTAGAAATAAACTTACACAAAGAATTCTTGTTTCTTCTGGGAAAGGCATTTATGTAATATCCAGTTAAATACCTATATATAGGTATTGACAGTCTGCTTGATGTGAGTGTGCGTGTGTGTGTGCATGTGTGTATAAATAGCCACAAAAAACCTCCCTCATCATGCATTTAAATTCTTAAGGCAACAGGAAAAAAATTTCAATGCATGGAGAAGCTAAATATCCAGTCTCCCTACTGTTGACCTACTCTACCCTTAGAACAAACTTGTATTAAACCATTCACAGAAATAAATACTGGAGTCACACATTTTAAATAACCCAAAATGCACCCAGGATATCTCATTTGCTACCCAGCTGCCATTTCACATTCCTGTATTTTGCTTAAACAATAATTCATGTGTGTCCCTATACACATACACAGGAATGACTGTACAGCTGCTTAAGCACATCGTTTACTAATAATCTTTCAACACAGTTCAAGTTTTCTGCTACATCAAGGTCTTCTGCCTGTAGCTGTTCCACATGGCAAATTCCCTTATCAGTAAATCGGTGTCCTCTTCCAGAGCAGATGCAGAAATCAAACTGTTAACGAGAATACACAATGCCACTTGATTTTAAGAACAAAGCATCATTTCACATTTTAAGTCCTCGTAATTCTGTATTCAAATGATGTTTTTAATTGCAAAGGGAATTCCATAACCCTTCCATTCTCAGGGAAAATTATTTTTTTCCCCCCTGGAGCATGAGAACAAATCCAGTACATTAACAAGGAAGGTGTTTTTTTCTTGTTTTTGTCTTTAATGAGCATGCTATTTCAGCTGCTATTTCAGAGCACAGTTCTGAGCTGCAGATAGAAAACCCCTGTATCCTGCTCACTACAGCCCCAGTTCTGAGAGCCAGTCCGCTATTGAACTAGAAACAGGATTTGAAGGTCAAATTAAATGGTTTATCTACAAATGGAACATTGTGAAAATCTGATTCTAAGTAAAACAGTCTGAAAGTGATTAGTGACATACATCAGTACCATAAAAGAGATTTCACACAAGCTGTTCACGTGTTCATGCACCTTTAAGGAAAGCACCATAACCATGTAACCACCTTTTAAAATTTAAGACGCGTCCTATTTTGCTATGCTATACTAATTTTTATTTCCATATCTTTTCACATTGGATGCTTCAAAGTATCCTGTGTAATAATGATGAGTTCACAGAGATTGCCCCAGTGTCGGTAACTTGTAGGAGCAATGCAAGTCTGCTACACACCAGAACTAAGAAATTCACAGAGGATACCTGTATTTCCCTATGGAAAAATAACACACAAGAAGATGATGAAAAATCTCACTCCGCTGGAAAGAACAAAAACTCAGTATTCTGGCCTACTTAAGGGGAAAAGCCCAGAGGGAAAGCCTCTAGCCATTAGACAGAATGCAGCATTAGAATCACAGCAAATTAACAACAATTTGGCAAAGGCAAACAATGGGGAAAAACAAACTTCAAAGTCAAACAAGAATAAGACAGACTTTTTATGAGATCTACTCTGCAGATATGCCATCCTAATACATAGAGTTTAGTAAAAATTACCTAGTACACAAAGATTATTTAATGAGTTTATCAGACTAATGATTTCTTCTATTCATTACTTGCTGGTCATATATATATATATATATATATTCAAATTGGACAACCGTGTTCACACGGTTCAGGTTCAGACAGCCATCACAGTCCACTTTATCTTTAAATAATTTGACATAAGAAACCCAAATTCTTAAAACTACTAAGTGAACAACTCTCCGCATCTCTTGAAGACCACAGTTGTGCATACAGCAATTATTACTCTGAGTTACTTTGAGTACTCAAAGCAAAAGACACTTCTGGTATTTAGAGGAACAGAGGACTACTCTATGTTTAAAGAAAAAAAACAAACAACCCAATACTTCTTACTTGCTTACATCAACAGAACACCAAGTACTATTTGTATCTATAAAATTAATTCAACTCTTGGTTTTCCATTACTTTTATTTTAATCTATAAATACTACACAACAGCAAAAAAAAAAATGAACCAACAAAAACACACCACAATGGTGAGGTAGGCAATCAACAGCAAATTCTATCATTTCACGTTTACAACATTCTAAGACTAAATCATTGCATTCTTTTCCAATGCTGACTCCTCAGAACATTATTATACATTTTATTTCTGTAAAGAAATGACTTAGCAAACTACTCACCGGCAGTGTTTATGTGATCCTGTTAAAGTTTCAATCACAAAGCATTCTCCTTCATTGAGACAGTATGCAAGATCCTTGTCTTTGCATGGCTTAAAGTGCTCAGATCGCTCAGTGGAATATGTTGTAGTATCTACAAAGAAAAAAGAGAAATGCCTTAAAGCTAAATATTTTTAAACTGAATGTTTTTACATTTAATACAAATAATCTCCATAACTTCTACTGATCAAGACAGTCTAAATAATTAAGATACAGCAACAGCACAAAGTAAGCAAACTCCAATGTGACAACAATGTTCTTAGCAATAAAGCTTCTTGAAAGAGTCACAAAACGAATCTCACATTTGGAAAAATTGCCAAAAAAGAGGAACTGAAGCAAAACTGAGTGCAATTTCCAACCAATTCCAATTTTCAAAGCACGCCATCTGAAAGTTTAAATAACAGGTTCTATCTTAAGATCTCACATTTTTAAACAATGGTAGCCATCAATGCTGTCAAACAAATTAATACAGCTTCATCTACTAATATTTTTTTATTCAAACCAGAAGAACAGGTAAGGTTTATTTTCACATTAATATAACTTAATACAGCTTTAAACAAAACATCTATTTTTTCTTGACAAGAAAACCTCTCTCACACACACAAATGCATGCATACAAAAACAACACAACAAAAGAAAAATCTGAGGTAAAAACAAGGCTATTTTGATTCATCTATCACAAAAACTGGCCTAGAATTAAAAACAAAAAAAAAAATGCAAGGCTCCACAGATAATTTAATTTCAGGTATATCTTCCATAGGTGCCTTCTTCTCTCCACCTCCCCTCCGCAAGAAAATTTAAGGAAGTTATTTTCAGAACAGTCTATTACCAGTAAATTTGCAGTGTATGGTTGGATGATGAGATCTGCAACAGTCTCTATCAGCATGTCAGAGTAGGCCATCATCCCTGCCTTCAAATGTATTTATTTTACTCTTCCAATCCAGTTGAATAAATAAAGAAACTGAACTTGTCAAAGGAAGACAGACAACACTTTGATTCTCTCCAATAAAGCCAGCATTCTCTAACGAAGCACAACATTCAAAGTAGATAATATCCTTCATACAGAATCTTAATTCTCAAAACCTAAATTCTTACTCAGCTGGGACAAGGAGCAGGACCTGATATACTAATGTACTCTGAAGTTATAAGAGAACATTTTAGCCTATCAAAGACAATCAGGAACATTCTTTTACTGTCAGAGGAATGGAACTGTGTTTGACGCACATGGGATACTGCAAACTAAAAATTACAGCAACGTATTGACTTCTTTGCTTATAACTAAAAACAAAAATACCCACAAAGTAAATAAAGCTGAAAAATAAAGCGCTGAATTACTAGGAGACATCAATATGTATGATTCTGCAGGTATATTTAAGTAAGCAAATGTGCATTGAAAAAAATCAATTGATTCTGCTTTCATCCTCAGAAGAATGAACTAGGAACAATAAAGAATGGTACTTCGTGAAGATCTCTCCATTCCCAGAAGCTTGCAATGTAACCATTAATTCTGACAGTACTTTAAGGAAAGCAGTGCTAAAAGGTTTCCCTTCTAAGCAGAGAAAGATTAATAAAACACTTTAATAATCCATACTCTATCGTCCCCAAGAGAAATTATTTTAGTTCAAAGTTCTTATGGAAAAAAAACAAACATTAACATTCTTCCTTCAAATAATTACACAGATTTAGAATGAGATGTCCTGCTACAGTCCCTGTTACTTTGCTGAAGATGATATATGTCAGCATCTTTCAAAAATGCAGAGTAGTGGAACTTCAGAAAAAGGTACAGGCTATAAAAAAACTACTTGTCCTCAGTGGATGCAAGCAAGCCCTGTAGTGAAATGTATCAGATTGAATTTTGGAAACAATGAGAGACGTATGTAAATGCAAGCAGGGACAAGCATGTCTGCTGACATTTCAAAAGAAGATCAGGTTCTGTATAACAACAATATCTTCAGGTCGAAACAAACATCCAGTCACCTTCTCAGGTCAGTTTCACGCAGGAACATTTGCATTGTCATTGAAAATCTGCATAATTTATTATACATACATGCACACACACAACAGCAATCTATTTCTACTCCTCTTAAATACCGAAAAATTAAGATAGTATTACTTGCAAGCACTTGTGCTAATTATACTGATTATCAAAGGTAACTAGAAGTGTTTGATGAGCAGCACCTCAGCTCCATATGCTTTAGAGAACAGCTCACTTACGTTTGTCAGCACACCCTGCAAAAACTACCCATGCAGATACCCTTATGAGGGTAGTCATGTTACACAGACCAAAGCAATCTGAGACACCCCCAAAGGCCAACAGGAAGAACAAGGAGGCATGCAGCACCCCATGGCACATCTCCGCAGTAGGAACGTACCCACTTGTACTTCACTGCTGTGCTCTGAGAAGGAAGATCCTCTTCCACCCACAACTGCCTTGTCAAGGTCAGCATTTTGAAGTTTTGGATTAAACATGTTCTTCGGAGGCTTGGTACTGTCTAACTTCATTCACTTCTCTATTCAGTATTACTCAAGATTATATCTATGAAATGCAACTGAAGTTCTGCTGCTGCTTTCATTTCATGTTGCATTCGTAGTCAGACTTTTTTTTAACATGTGTGGCTCAATGCAATATTAAAAAAAAATAATCTAAGAACTTGCTCTAAACAGAACTACAGAAGGAACAAAGCAATTGATAACACTGTAGAGATTACCCAGTTTTCTCAATTCCTTTTGCTATAGATTTTATTCTATTTTGTTTCTTGTTTTGTTTGACTGCTCAAATGGTGTTCAACAGCTCTGTCTTTTAGGAGCTTGCTAAATATCCACTATTTTACTGTCCAATCAGAATTTCTTTCAAGGACTCTTATCAGCTATAAAACTTAAGCATTCACAAAATTATCTCATCTTAATTCATTCACAGTCTTTACACATGGGTGCCAGACTGCAACATTTATAGGCAACAAAAGGGAGCCTCTGTTAAGCATTCAGATGTCCTTAAATTTAGTACTTAAATGCCAAAAATCCATAACTCCCTAAGGTCTTTCTTCTCCCACCCTACCACTATTATTTTTTTTTTTTGTAATTGCTAAGTGTCCAGGCATTTCATCTAAAAGCAGCAGGGGATGTGGATTTCTGCTGGAATCTTTCTAACTAAAAGAGAATAAAGAATGCCTAGGTGGTTTTGCTCTCTTGTTACTGTCTCATTTTATCCACAAAGCTTTATGTGCCACTCTCCTACTCCATATCTGAATATACTGCTGTCACGTCTCTGATACGAAACGAACAAGATTTCAGGTTTCAAAGTGAGGCTTGAAAAAAAGAAAAAATAGTCATTTGGGAGTGCTTAAGACAATGTCATTAGCCAGTTTTCAGATATTGTTATATTGTGTTATTATCTAAAGATGTGCTACCAATTTGGTATTTTTATGTTCTCTCCTTAATTTGTTCCACCATGTTTATATCAGCACAGGATGACTCACCACAGCTAATCTATTGAATGCTCTACAAGGCACAATACGGATACTATAAATACCACCTCCCCCATTCAAGGCTACTCGAGTCATTGTTTCCAGTATCGTGCTCTGATATTCATAAACCTGTAATTAAATAGGAAAAATGCAGGAAAAGAGTGTGAGACTTCAAATACCCTGGCAAAACAGTAACATACATGGCAGCTATTTCTAGGTAGTCTGTATAGGAGCAAGCATTCCCATTCATCACATGCAGGTTCATCACATTCTGGATTTAGAAACAGATGTTACTGAAAACAGCTCAAACAACAAATAACTTTTTGACAATATTAAAGAAAACCATACAGCATGGATCTCCTTATAAACAGCCATTCAACATGCACAGCTGTAGCTGCCATGGAGTGACAAAAAAAAAACAAACCTAGAAGAACAAGAAATAAAAAGATACTGCTCAACCTTTCTGAAGACAACAGCGGACAGACATGCAAGTCTCATAGCCTCATGTTAACATTCACTCATGTGGGTAAAGCAGCAACTCAGTGCATTAGAAAGGACTATTTAAGACAAATACGGGTTCCGTGCTAAAGGTTACACGCTGGAACAACTACTTGTAAAACTCTGCCTGTTTTGAGTTACTATTGTGTACTGCCAGCTTTATACATTAAATATCAACTAGACTAACAAATTGTTATCTATCTGCAAGCGATAATTTCTATGAACCATTGACTGATACAACTAAAAAAAAAAGTGAGGTGCTTATTTTAATTCAATGACACTTTTAAACGCACTACCAAAAAGAAAGCAAAAAAAAAAAAAAAAAAGGCATTTCCTCCTACCACACAACTCTAGTTACAAAAACAAAATGTATTAAAGAGCTCCTTCTGACAATATATGTTTACATCATGAAAGTAAACTATCAAGTACGTAAAGTTGCTGAAAGTAAAGCCTCTTTATTTATGATGTTGGCCCACCACATCTGAGATGGGTATTGGTGGTATGGCAGTAGGGATTGAACTGCCAGCAAATACAGAATCATATAGAACGAGGGGAAATGGGCACAAACTGGAACATGGGAAGTTGCACTCAAACACCACAAAGAATTTGCTTATTAAACTATGAGTGCCAGCGCACTGGAACAGGCTGCCCAGAGAGGTTGTGAAGTTTCCTTCTCTTGAGACATTCAAAGAAATATTCAAATCCCATCTGGACACTTTCTTGTACCACCTTCTGTAGGTGAGCTGGATTAAGTGACCTCCAGAGGTCCCTTCCAATCCTTTCAATTCTGTGATTCTGCAACTAACTTGAAAAATAGTATTTCGTAGCTAATCTTGTAGCTAAGAGTTTGCCCTGTTATTGAGAATTTTTGCATCTGTTTAGCTCCCATAGAAAGAAATAGGAGCCATAACTCTCAGAGCTATCTATTAAAGGATTTTCAAGCTACTAGTGTGCTATTACCAAAATATTCTGTGCTCTAGAGAGCTGCTTGTTTGACACAAACCTCTTACATATTGAGCTAGCTCTTGGTTTTCTCAGCTTGGAAAAGGACAAGCCAAGGAAGCATCTGTGAAAATGCCCACCTCATTATATATCATCTTGCATCTGAAACTCAAAAAAAGGAAAGGAAATA